CTGCCGCCCCAGGGGCCGGGGGGCTACGCTCAGGACAACATGCACCAGATGCACAAGGTGAGGCTGGAAATCCCCGTTAAATTTTAATTTCTCGGTTCCTCGAGACAGAAAGCCTGAGGGGTCGATGGTTTATCTTAGAGTTTTACGCGGTTTCCTTGCGGCAAATAACGGGGGGGTCGTAAATAAGGAAGGAGAGAGAACCCTCCTAAATAAATAAGGAAGGAGATAGAATATTTCCTACCTAATAAGGAAGGAGAGAGAACCCTCTAATGAAGGTTCCTCTCGTTGGGAGTTCGAAGCTCAGGAAAAGCAACCCTCCCCTCTCCCTTTCCACCTCCGCCATCAGAGCGTTGGGGCTCTTTTGGTTTTATTTCATCGTCCAAACCTCCTTTTTCTCGCTTTTTTTTTTTTTTTTTTAATCCCCAATCATCTTCAGCATCGTCAGCTGAAAGACCTGGGGGAAAATTGAGCAGCAAAGCGTTAAAGCAATTCCGAGTCTCTCTTAACGTCCCCTTGGGCTTATTCCCCTCCCCGCCCTTCGGTGCGGTGTTTTGCCGGCAAACGGGGTTTTGTTTGGAGGAGTTTTTTGGCGGTGTCGATGCACGCGGTGAATCCTTGCCGCCTTTACGGCACGGCTCGCCTCCGCGCAGCCACCTGCGCTCGGTTTTCTTCCGTCTCCGGGGCCGGCCTAGCCAGCTCTTTGATTTTAATTTGATTTTTGGGATGTCGGTTTTCTCCCGCAGCCCATGGACTCCATGCACGAGAAGGGAATAACCGACGATCCTCGCTACGGCCAGATGAAAGGGATGGGAATGCGGCCCGGCGGGCACGCGGGAATGGGTCCTCCCCCGAGCCCGATGGATCAGCACTCGCAAGGTTCGTTTCTTTAGGAAAAATAAATCTCCTTTTCCCAGGGATCGGGCTGCGGCTCAGCCTGGAGCCCCCAGAGCGCCTCTGGCTCTTCCCCCTTCTGTTTATGCGGGCCGGCCGGTGGGGTAGTCACAAAAATGGGCAAAGAATCGCGTGAAAAGGTCAAACTCGGAGAAGGACCGTCTGTCCTTCCTCGTGTCCCAGTCTCCTCTCTGCTCCGGTCGGCGTCCCAGGACTTTCCTTGCTTTAAATCCTTCATTTTGGGGAAGGATTTATCGCTCCCGGGGTTCCCAGGTTTAAAGCAGTCCTTGCCACTTGCGCCCCAGGACTTTCCTTGCTTTAAATCCTTCATTTTGGGGAAGGATTTATCGCTCCCGGGGTTCCCAGGTTTAAAGCAGGAGAAGTTTTGTTTTTTTTTTTTTTTTGAAAAAGGGGCGTTTTGCTCCCGTCTCACCCGTCTCCCTCCCTCCAGGTTACCCTTCTCCGCTCGGCGGTTCCGAACACGCCTCGAGTCCCGTTCCGGCGAACGGTCCGTCCTCCGGCCCTCAGCTATCCTCGGGGCCCGGAGGAGTCCCCTTGGACGGTACCGATCCCCAAGCTCTGGGACAACAAAACCGGGGTCCGACCCCTTTTAACCAGAACCAGTTACACCAGTTAAGAGCTCAGATCATGGCTTACAAGATGCTGGCGAGGGGCCAGCCTCTGCCCGACCACCTTCAGA